AATGTAGTGGACATTACATGTAATTTTACGGTAGCATACCGTTTTTGGAAGTTAAAAAGAATGTATAACTTACAGTGAATAACCGTAAATGGACATTCCCAGAATTCGCTGCGTTACATTTCACATTTCGTTACATTTTCATTGAAACAACTTTGTTTATTCTTAGTTTTTTTCTCATTAGTTGTGTACATTAGGGTGGCATGTTACATCTAATGTTGTTAAATTAATACTTATTGCGTGTTGGTTCATCATGTGACTCATCACCACCTGCTTTTGGTGGGTGTCAGTGTATTACAAAGGTACAAAGCAGATTTCAGTACTTGCATAGACTGGTATATTAACATTTTATCAGTTGATGAAATTACAGTATTTACATGTAAATTTAAGTTAATTCCGTAAAACCTAAAATGCTGCTAACACATTTTTTAGGGGAAAATTCTGGCAACCACAACTGCCGTTTTTTTACCGTAAATTTTATGGGATTTTTTTTTTACATAATGTGCATGTATTTATATATACACATAATAAATATACACAGTACACACACATATGGTATGTAAACAAACATTTATTTTGAATTGATTAATCGGTTTGCTGCCCTAATATGTGTAGTCAGATGGTTAACTGTTGTATAAGTTTATAATTGTTTTACTTGTACTTCAATTGTTGTATGTTTATATTTCAGTTTAATTAGTATGTAGCACTGTTTGTTTCTTATCTGTATGAATTACAAAAGGAGATGGAGAAGGAGAACAGAAGGAGAATGATGTTCACTCAGCTGCTAAATAAACGCTGAATGAGAGAGTTTCTGTCTGTCATCTCATTTTGTGTGCCACATATATTTATTTGTATAAATTAATTGTATAATAATTGTAATTACATGATATGCATAATTGCATAATATTTTCAAAAGCTGAAGTGATTACCTTTGTATAACTCAATATTTTAACTAATTGCAAAAGCTGAATAATCAATCAAAGCCTACTGATTAATTAGTGAAATAATCCACGATTAGTCGATTAGCCTAATCAAAATAATTGTTTGTTGCAGGCTTGCAGCCCTAGTTACTGTTAACTAAAGCTATTAAAAGTAATTTTTTGTTTAATTAAAATAAAATGTAAATATTAGCTAGATGAAAACTAACTGAAAGTTTAAGTTAAAGTAATAAAGTTAAAATAAAACTTAAAAAAATATAAAAAATAATAAAAATAACAAACGAACATCAAGTTACTAAAACGGAAATGAAATAAAGCTAAACAGAAATATTTTTTAAAAATAATAAAAATGAGGGAAGCACAACAAAATTACTAAAACTAAAACAGTAGCATCAAGCTAAACAAAAAAAGGTGTTAAAAGGCTAATAAAAAAGGACAAAAGCTCAAAAAATTATGAACTCCAAAATATGAATTAATACTATAATAGTATAGAAATAAAACTAAAATAACATTAGATGATCAAACACTCATAATACTACAAACATTATGAGTATTATAGGCTATTATTAACGAATTGCTTTGATCCTATTCTTATGTAAGTCACTTTGAATAAAAGTGTCTGGCAAAATAATTAATGTAAATTACATGTAAAAAAAAAAAAACGGACAATTCGTTAACATCAAATAACCATTTAAAAATACGGTTACAGAAAACGCGCGAATATCAGAGCGAGTCACAGATGAGTAATAAACGAGTTACTGTACAGCGATGAGCTGATAACAACTGCCTGAATAGCACAGTATTACTGTAGTATAGTGTTTACATTCTCTTAGGAATACTACAGTAACGTTACTACTATGGTACGTGTCAGAAACCCGTGCGCTGCAGAGAAAGATGAACAACAGAAGCCAGAAACACCAACCTGTATCGCCTGACGACACCGCGTCACTCCTGAGCGGTAAACGAGGCTTTGATTAATGATCTGTGATAGATTAAATCACTTTAATAAGTGAACTTTAATCAATAAAGTCGATTTAACGCGAGCTAACTCGCTCAGCCCTGCCGCTACCGTAGTGGTGACTTCACTTCCGCTTCCGCCATCCGGCAGAAACTTCCGGAATTACTCCAGAGGATTATATTTTTAGAACTGTTATGTCAAAGGATATGGTTTAATGGTTGATGTTTGGCTGGTATTAAGTAATAAACATCTCTCTTTTAAACTGTTTTCTTTTTACTTCTGTGAGGTTTCACCGCTGAGTTAAATTATTGTTGAGTTTATTAGTTTCAAATGACTTTGTAAACATCGTTATTTTGATATTTAAATTAAATTCAGATTTGAAATAATTCTTCGTAAACTGCTTTGGCTCCATGCGCTTTCATGAGGACTTTTATCCTGAAATACGAGCGTGCATGACCGGAAGTGGCGCTTCAGCGTGATCAGATTAACTATAAACGGTTCCTTCAGCATTTCGCTGTTAAATTGTGTTTAGTTAATTAATCGGTCACATCAGCACAGCCAGTCGCTCATTACAGGTGATTTACAGACTGACAGGCAGATGATGATGATGATGTTGTTGTGGTTGTGTAGGGTCTGATGATGGTGTGATGTTCAGTGATGATGATGGTGATGATGATCTCTCCTCACAGGCACTTTCCCCACTGCATTCAAGCAGGCTTGGCTCAAACATACATTAAACACTTCTCTTATAGACAGCTACAGACCAGTCTCTCTCCTTCCATTCATAGCGAAAACCCTCGAACGAGTTGTTCTTAACCAGGTATCATTGTTTCTCTCACAGAACAACCATCTGGATCCTAACCAGTCAGGTTTCAGGAATGGCCATTCAACTGTCACTACTACGAATCTACATCCCCTCCAGAAGTCTGAGATCCGCTAGTGAGCGACGCCTCGTGGTACCATCACAGAGAGGCTCAAAATCACTTTCCAGAACATTCTCGTTCACCGTTCCTCGCTGGTGGAACGATCTTCCCACCCCATCCGGAATGCTGAATCCCTGACTTTGCTTTCTCTTTCCTTAATCTCTCTCTGTTTAGCTTGTACTTATTTGAACAATGCTTGAAACTTGGTATGACGAGCACTTCCTGCGTCTATTTGTCTCTTTAAGATGAATCGCTTGCTGTATTCCCCAACTGTAAGTCGCTTTGGATAAAATGAAATGTAAATGTGATGATGATGATGATGATGATGTTCTGTAGGTGTCAGGATGGTGTGTGAGCTGCTGCTGTCCTCGCTCTGGTTCCTGTTCCTCATCTTCTGGCTGGAGAGCATCAGTGTTTGGCTCTTTCTGTGTCTGTACTATCAGGACAGGGTTTTCTATCACTGGGCTTCAGGGTGAGTCCAGCTCATGTAAACATGATTCTCCAGCCTGCCACTGAAGAAGCAGATCTTCTGTGAGCCAAGCGTTCACTAGATCTCTCACTAGTTTTCTGCACAAATAAACGCTCGAGAACTTAACTCTTGCAGGTGAACAAATTGAGACATATGTATAGTAATTTTACTATTAAAAAGACTTAATATAGCTAATTATGAAATAATCATTTAATGTTTATTTTATAGTGCAGTTGTATTATTGTAGTACTTTAAAATATACAGCATTTTTGGTTGGAGTAGGGTGTCCTTATTACATGTTGTTAATTAACAGCACACACTTACTATAAGGTTAGGGTTAGTTGCATGTAATTATGCATATTTTACTGTTAATTTACTACAGTAAGTGCATGTAACGTGTAACTAGGACACTGTAAAATAAAGTGTTACCAGATGTTCTTATGGTGGAAGCTTCAAGGTCTGTGAGATCTTATTTGTGATGGTGTGACTCTGTAAGTAACGCTTGTTGTTTTGTCTGCAGTGAGTTTGCAGATGATCCGGATCAGTTCCTCTATGTGTTGAGCAGGTCAGCTTTATTTCTGCTTTGGTGTCTTGAGTTGAAAACGGCTGCTATCTCTCCTTCGTCTCATCACACAAACAAACACTGCAAAATCACGTGTTCATCTTCTCCCACAGAATCGATCTGTCTGCGCACATGCAGACATGAGGAAGTGATGTCATCACGCCAGGGTCAGAGGTCAGCGGGTCCTCGTGACCTCCAGAGACTGTGATGGACGGTTTCTGCAGACAGATAGAGCGGCGAGATTCAGCGCACAAGCAGCAGGAACACATGAAACCTCTTTAAAACTGTTACCTGCGTGAACACTGACGGAGTTTAACCAGTTCATGTTTTTTAACTAGCTGGAATTTCATTTGAGAAAATATTAACAGCTCCAGATTAACTTTGATCGAATTATTGTGTGTTCTATTTTTATACCAATTTCTCTTTTTTTTTTACCTAATAATAAAAATAAAGCAGCTTTAAACAGTTTCTCTGAGGTTTCGTTTCTACACTAAACAGAAACAAGAAAAATCTGCTTCGATGGAAATAAAAATAATGCTTTATATTTCATACAACCTGAAGAACCTTCACAAACAGAACCACAGATCAATCAAACCGTTCTATTTTCACATTATATTAGTGCTACTACTGTGTATATTAGTTGTCTATATAAACACACATACATATATAACGGGAAAATATGCTGTTTATATATTAAATATATTTATATATGAATATAAATAATATATACTGTATGTGTGCATTTATATATACAGAATAAATATACACAGCACACACACCAATTATGTAAACAAAAACTTTTATTTTGGATGTGATCCATTTATCAAACATTACAGTAAGGTTACTTGTGTTCACATTAGTTAATGCATAAAACATTTTTACAGCATTTGTAAATCTGGTTTGTTGTTAAATCACGTGTGTTCATCTATTTGTTTAACATTTTCTTCTCTACTTTATGAAATAACACGACGGAAGAACTACTGAAAACAAGGTACTAACGCATCAGTGTGTTTACATGAAATTACACAGCTAAAATAAACACCTCTGTTCATATAACTGCACTACATGAATAAACACTGATATACATCATTATAGAAGTTTATAAATGCATGAATATATATATATATATATATATATATATAAAGAGTAATTTGTCTGTGTGCGTGAGAGTTTGATTCAGGCGCTGATCGGGGCAGCCGCGGCGGCGGGGTCCTTCAGCAGAAGTCGCGCACTGTCGATAAACTGATTTAAACTGTTAATTTTTGTGTTTCGCCGTTGTTTATCGATCATTTGCGTGGAGAAGCGCGTTTAGATTCTCCACCATGGCTCCTACAATACAGACGCAGCGCGAGGACGGACACCGGTGAGAGAGATCACGATTACAAACACGATAAAACACACGAATATTATATTATATATATTATATCGCACACACGACCAGTAAAACACACGTACCTCCACTTAGAGAACTCTTCATCGCGCTAATTACTCTGTTGTGTTTGATTAGAGACATTAGAAATGGGTGTTGTGAACTGGTCGTGTCTCATTAGTATCTCACGATCCCTCAGTAGTGTGTAACGTGTGTTTTGTGTTTACTACAGGACTTCAGCTCACAGAAGCGTCCCAGAGAGGTACTGATGATGATGAAGATGTGTCAGTTTCATGTAGGCCTGCAACAAACGATTATTTTGATCATTGATGAATGTAACGATCATTAGAGCGATTAATCGACTAATCGTGGATTATTTCACTAATTAATCAATGGACTGCAATTAGTTAAAATATTGAGTTCTAACAAATAAATAAAGGTAATCGCTTCAGCTTTTGAAAATCGTGAGACATTTTATTTTTGGATAATGTCAACTTCTGACTCAACCAATCGTGTGAGAGTGGGGCGGGGCTGTCTGTTTGATTGACAGACGGACACCTGTTTGGAAACAGTGGTGTGTTTAATCTCTTGTGTGCTGCAGGTCTGGCGTCGTGTGCAGAGTGAAGTATGCAAACAGTCTCCCGGATATCCCCTTCGATCCGAAGTTCATCACGTATCCGTTTGACCAGCACAGGTACGGCTCTGAGGCGTGTGTGCCGCTGGGTTGGGCTCTGTAGGGCTGCTGGGATACGCTGCAGTGACGCGTGCTGTGTGTTGCAGGTTTGTGCAGTATAAAGCCACATCACTAGAGAAACAGCACAAACACGAGCTGCTCACCGAGCCTGATCTGGGCGTCACCATCGACCTCATCAACCCTGACACGTACCGCATCGACCCCAGCAGTGAGTCCGAACACACACCCCACAGTTATTACAGTCAGCTGAAACCAGAAGATGCATATTGTTTGAAATAATATATGCTAAAATGTAGGGATGTAACGATTCACTCAACTCACGATTCGATTCACGATTTATTTATTCTTTACAGAATGAGATTTAAGATTCAGAAATACATTGCCATTTTGCATATTGCATTTTAAATTGAATTTCGCTACCTATATGCTTCCATAACAAAGATGCTGCATACATACAACATGAACAGTTTTTAATGATTTTTTAATTTTTATGAACCGCGATGATACGGCGTTTTTCACATATTTTAATCGATTTTCAACCGGCTCACGGTTAATCGTTACATCACTACTAAAATGTATTTTATTTAATCTAGTTGCCAAAGCAACGTTTCTCATTTTAATTTGACTTGAAGTTCTAAAATAACTAAAAGTAAAACTGAAATAAAAACTATGTAGACATTAAAAAAATCAACTGATAAAAATTACAAAAACAAAAAAGACTAAAACTTGAAATTGAAAAAAAAAAAGTGTTTAGTAGGCTATTTTTTCCTCCTGCTATACCAAAACTATACCGAACAGTCATGTTTTTCATAAATTTCTTGAAGTTGAACCAAAGTTTTTATTATTATTTTTTAAATCACATGAATTTCATTCTCATGATTTATTAATCCAAAATCCCTGACATTCCCCGTTATACTGTAAATTCAGTTTTTATGACCGGTTTCCCTCTGTATTTTCCTCATCACAGACATCATGAAGCTCTATCGCTGTTTTAATTATCCAGCGAGTGAAATACTTCATAAATCACCTTATTTGATTATTTTCTCTTTTTGTTTGGATCCTGATGGACTCGAAGCAGAAGATCAGATGAAAGAATCAGAAACTAAACATCTGATCTGAATAATGACACTGTTGTCTAAAGCACTATGAAGATGACTTGTCTTCACGTGTGTGTTTCAGTTCTGTTGGATCCTGCTGATGAGAAGCTGCTGGAGGAGGAAATTCAGGCTCCGTCGAGCTCAAAGAGGTGCGAGAGAATCATTTCAGCACACAAACGCCTTCTCCTGTGACTTTTGACCCCCAGCACTGACTCTGACATGTG